CACCAGGGGAGAGGCATACAGGAACTAGCAGAGAAGGTCCAGAATGGATGCTGACCACCCCTGTCCACCCTCTCCCTCTCCCCATGCCAGGTAGGCTTTGACACCCACTGGAGACACTCCACTGGCCTGTGAGAAGACAACACAAATATTAAAGGATAAGAAACATAGTAAAACTAGTTGCTAAATCCTTTGAATGTCACTTTCTATGGCGAGTTGGCAATTATACATATTTTGAGACAAGGCAATTCTCCTGGATTATCTGGGTCAGTCCTAAATGCAATGACATGTAGCCATAATAAAAAGGCAAGCACCTCTCTCTCTCTCTCTCTCTCTCTCTCTCTCTCTCTCTCTCTCTCTCTCTCTCAAACACACACACACACTGACAATCAGATGGCCGAGACAGGCATTAGAAAGATATAGCCAGAGCCAAAGAATGCCGGAAGCTAGAAGCAGCCAGGAACGGACCTCTATCTGCATAGAGCCCCTAAGGGAGTGCAGTCCTGCCAACCCTTGGCTTTCAACCCAGTGATGTTGGACTTCTGGCCTCCAGAAGAGTGAGCAAGTAACTGTGTACTGTCTTTGGCCACCAGGGAGGTGTTGACAGCGGCCTCCAGATAATCCAGAAGCACTTCATCTGGCCCCATGATGCAGGCAGAGCTCAACTATCCCCATGGACTTGTCCTGAGGATGGTCACAAGGACAGTTCAAACAGCCAGTGTGTGGTGAAGAATGGGACAGGGTTGGGATAAGTCACGACTTGGATGATTGCATCTGGGGAAAGTGTGTGGGAGCGGTTGTATTTTCGCAGTCATCTGAAAAAGGCCTGTGGTCACACTGCAGGCTCATGGGAAGTCAGGAAGAGATCACTCAAACTATTAAATCAGGAAGGTGGAAGGAGTTGGGGGGGTTATTTTGTTTTGTTTTGTTTTGTTTTTGTCATTTTTCAGCATTGGAGATCAAATCTAGGGCCTTCCTCTTGTGAGACAAGGACTCCGCTCACAAGCTACCATTCAGCCTCAGGAAGGTTTGTTTTGTTTTGTTCTGTTCTGGTTTATGAAGCCCAAGCATACAACACCTCATCCTGCTAGGAGGTTGTTTTAAAAACAAAGAATGCCAGGAAGGGTGTGCAGGGAGGCCACTGGACTGACACCAGGAGGCCACGAGCTGTTGGAGCCTTGGGGATGGCTGACCTCCACCTCCTCTTGGCCTCTTAGGTCATTCAGGGCTTTGCCTGAACTTGGCTCTCAGCCAGCATGGTGAAAAGTAGACCCAAGTTCAGCCTCTAGATGCCCAATCTGATCACTTGGGCCACTGGAATCCTGCTGGAAGAGAACATGGAGTGCCAGTGAGGATGCACGAGCACTGTCTGTGGAAATGCAAAATGCAAAATGGCGCAGCTGTTGTGGAAAAGCACGGTGATACTCAAGAATGACAAGCAGAACACTCCAACAACCCTGCTTCCCGTTACAGCAGGCCCTGCTCACCTGAAGTCTTGATCCAGGATATCATAGTGGGATTAGAGTTACCTAAAGGGCAAGGACAGGATGGTGACTTCCAAGGACCATGAGGAAGAAAGGAAGTGGAGGTACAGGTTTCAGCTTTATAAGATGAGGGGTTCTGGGGGGCAGGGGGGTTCATACCTTCAAAAGGCATGTAAGGGAGTTCACAGATATCTGTGTGATATGGATTAGATCTGTGGTAGTTTTTAAAGTTAACTTTTTAGGTTAGCACCCAGAGTAATTACTTTCCTCATGGCATCTTTATACATGTGTGTCATTATACATCGCTACCACACACCCGCCTCCCCTCTCCAGCTCTCTTCCTTTTCACCCCGTCATGTTCTCCTCTGCTTTATTGCCTGTACTCTATTACACTATGCTCCCCTCCCCTAAAATCTCCCTCCCTGTCATGATCCCTCTTCTAGTTTCCTGACTACAGCCCTCCCCCTTCCACCAAACACACAAGCGCGCGCACACACACGCACGCACGCACGCACGCACGCACGCACCAGCACACAGATTTACATCTAGGCTCTGCACATGAGAGGAAACACTGGTATTGGTCTGTACATTTGTTTCACTTAACACGGTGATTTCCGACTACATCCAGCTCCTGAAAATGTGATTTCACCTCCCTTTCTGACTGTACAAAACTAGTAAGACTCTTATACTTTTCTTATTCCTTCTCTTCTCTTTTCTCCTTTTTATTCTGTTGTACAATTTCACTTATTTTCTTTCCCTGCTAACATTTTTCTTTATTAGAAATAACTTTGTATTACTTTAATTTTTCATTTATTCTACATTTTGTTGCCTTTCTTTAATACTATCAGTGGAAAAGTAGTTTTTACATCTTTTAAGTGTATTACTGTATCTGATTTGTTTTTAATGTTGTTGTTACCACTGCTTCCTCTCCAGACAGAACTGGGGATGGAGTTCTCCAGAGAAGCTAGTCACTGACACCCCCCCACAAAAAATGGACATTATCCACCCTGACACATGTACAAATCTCAGCACAGAAACACAAGAAACATGGTGTGGGGGGTTAACATGTCTCCTCCAAAAATCCATAGCTTTTCAGTAACCGAGAATCCGAAGATGCTGGACAAAGAATGAATTAAGAATATTTTAAGTGATCCATGAATAATAATAATAATAAAAACCCAAATGATTAGCCTGGTGAACTAAAGAGGACCACACAGTATATGAAAGGGGTTGTTCTCAACCTTCCTCATGCTGCAACCCTTTAGTACAGTTTTTCATGCTGTGGTGACCCCCAACCACATTATTTTTATTGTTACTTTATAACTGTAATTTTGCTACTGTTATGAATTGTAAATATCTGATATGCAACCCCTGTGAAGGGTCATTAGCCCCCAAAGGAGCCGTGACCCACAGGTTGAGAACCACTGCATTAGCTCAACTGGATTTAATAGACATTATAGAATAGTCCATCCAGCAGCAGGAACCCACATTTTCTTTTTTTTTTTTAGCTCCTGAAACTTTTTCCAAAATAGCTTTTTACACTCTAAAGCAACTCCCAACAAATACAAAATAATTTAAATAATCTCTTACATCTGATCAGATCATAATGGAATAAAATCAGAAACCAACAACAAGAGACAGAATAAAAAATATACAAACACATAGACTAAATACTATGCCTTTTCATGAATACTGCATGTTTTCTCTCATCCATGGAATCTGGACTTACAACACACAGAGTTGAAAGCAGAAGAGGCCATACTAGGTTCGGGCAAGGGGCTGGGGAGGGGAGGAAGACGGAGGGCAAGAAAGAGCCTTGGAAGAGTGAGTCATGGTCACTGCATCATCATACATGCTGTATGGGAATGTCACAGTGAAACCCCCCAATATGACAGCCTGCATTTATAAATGTAAAGATTAAAAAAGAAGAAAAGCAAGGCAGATTTTTCATCTGATAAAAATCCTGAAAGAGTTGAGAATTACTTGTGGAATTTTCCATTTAACGTTCTCGGACTACAGTTATCACAGGAAAAGAAGCCACAGTTCAGGTGGGCCCTGCTGTCAAGCCAGTTCGTGGGCCTGGCTTTTCAGGAAGGTGGCAGGTCAGAGCCATGTCCCTTCTGAGCAAGAGGCTCGGGGTATTCTGGGTGTGACAGTGGGGCCCACTAGATCCACAGTAACACAAATGGCCTCGACGCTGCCTCTCAAGCATCCCTTCCAGGAAAACCATCCAAAGGAGGTGCAGCCTCCCAAGTTGAAAACTCATCTCCCACTGAAATCACTTCTACCGTGACTAACAAAAGCCTCCCAGGTCAAAAAAATAAGGAAAAGATGTAAGGAATGAGCAGACCCAATGTGAGTCTGCTCAGTGTTAATGAGCCATGGGCTAAAAACAGGTGGAATCTGTGTATCTAGAGTTTTCTCCAGTCCTGCCCAGCACCACGGTCCCCGCAAGCACTAATAAAATAATCACTCAGAAACTTATATTAGTTAAACTGCCGGGCCATTAGCTCAGGCCTACCACTGACTAGCTCTTATACTTAACTCAGCCAATTTCTGTTCATCTATATGTCGCCACGTGTTCCATGGCTTTACATGTTGCTCCCTGGACGGCAAGCTGACACTGACGTCTCTGCCTGCTCCGCCTTCCTGTTCCCCCCACCCTCCTCTTTGCTAGTCCCGTCTATACTTCCTGCCTGGCTACTGGCCAATCCATGTTTTATTTATCAATCATAGCAACATATTTTTTATAGCATACAGGACATCCCACAGCAAAACTGCCCACAGTAGGTCTTCACAGCAGCTTGGGGGCAGCTGGAGACTCTTCCTCTCCAGCCACAAAGACCAAGGCACAACTCATCTGCTGTGATAGAGGCATTCCAAAGCACTGGAAGCCAGATCTCCCCATTAATGAGCCAATTGGAGGAGTATCAATGATTGGTTCTCTGCTACACTTCTGCAGTCGGCAGAGAAGAACGGGCTTTCAGAGAAACTCTAAATACACCGAACCGAGCTCATCTGCCACCTTTGAGAGTGATTTCAAAGACAGAGAAATGTCCCAGGTTCCCACCCCACGCCTGCTTTTTTTTTTTTTTTTTTTTCATTAGTAGCTGCCTATGGCCAAACTGAGACGTAGTCTAGATTTGCGACTGGTCATCTAGCCAGGCTACTAGGCTTTCCTTTCTGGCTCAAACACACTGGGACTCCCAGACCAGCAGGAGCTGGGAAGACTGTCACTGTGACATTTCCATAGTCTGGGACCAGGAACCTATAGCTCATTGAGATGTGGGGTCCTAGGGACCTTTTGATTTACACTGTGCTCTTCAGGCTTCCAGCCCCAGAACCTGCATAAGCATTCGGCCCTTTCATACCCATGGGGAACCTGTTCCCACCAGGGACGGGCCCCAGACCTGGATTGTGGTGACGCTGAGGTGGTGTCAGACCACAGTTTCTAGGTGTAGGCCTGGGTGGGCCCTATGGAGACAAAGCATATCCTCAGTTCCCGTCCTCAGGAAGAAAGGCCCAGCACTTGAGTTCAGGAGACCCTGCCAAGAGGAAATCCCCAGGACTGCTGAGGTGGGATGTGAAATCCTCCCAGGGTCCACTGACCAGAGGAGGAAGTTGGCTGAAGTTCTGCCTATTAGTTGAGCAAACAACACATTTCTCAGAAGGGCGAGGTTCCACCCCTGGATATATGAGACCCTCAGGAACAGGCTCCAGAAGAGTGTCTTCGGAGCATCTTCTAAGTCTCATTCCACCATGAAGCTTACCACCACCTTCCTAGTGTTCTGTGTGGCTCTGCTCAGTGACTCTGGTGAGTTTCCTTGGAGCTTGGCATCTCCTATGGAGGGTCTGCCATCAGCTCCTGCTCTTTCCTGGCCCCTGCTCCAGCTGATTTGGCCCTTTAGCCTCCCATTCTCATGCACCAGGCTGCTGACGGTAGCTTTTCTAGCAGAAATGCCTCCCGAGGAAGCCAGATGCTCCTCCACTTACCCCTTCAAGGGCTTCCTCTTTTTCCTGTGCCCTTCAAAGTCTTCTGCTGCCAGGCCCACATGAGCCTTCCAGCTGCCTCTCACGTGCTCACCCACCTTTGGTTTCTTCTCCCCACCCACCAGCCTGACGACTGAGTCAAAGGCCAGCCCTGGCTTGAGAATGCCCACCCCATCTGTTCTAAACCTGATTAATGTCCCCTCATTCATAAAGGCACAGTAGGAATGTCCCCAACTCTGAAACCCTCCCCGTCTTCCTATGGTTCTCTCTCGGCAGCCATCTCCTCCCAGGGCCCACTCTGAGGCCACCTTTCCTCACCTCTTGTTGGTGTCCCCTTTGACACTGGGCAGTCATCAATCAGGAAGTAGGTGTGTGGCTGTGAAGTCTCCCTTGGGTGCTGTCCCTGGAGGAGTTGGGTCTTCAGGACCCTTGAGAAGGCCCTCGGTGTTCTCCTTTGTGTTGGCAGGTGTTGCTCTCTTCGTGAACTCGGTGGTCAAACCTGTGGCAGAACCTGTGGCTGCCCTTGCCCCAGCTGCGGAGGCTGTGGCCGGGGCTGTGCCTAGCCTACCATTAAGCCGTTTGAGCATCCTGAGGTTCATCCTGGCCAGCCTGGGCATTCCGCTGGATCCCCTTATAAAGGGCTCCAGCAAGTGTGTCACTGAGCTGGGCCCTGAGGCTGTGGGGGCTGTGAAGACACTGCTGGTAATGTGGGCATCTTCCCTGAATGCCTCTCCCTCCCCGTGTGGGTGGGTAACCCTCCCTAGTCACCTTCACAGTCATATAGGAAGCAGCAGCCCAGTCTGTATCAGGGAACCCTTGCTTCCTGTTCTGCTCCAGGAAGCCATATCCTAACCAACCTGTGAAGAGCCCAAGGAGTTGTCGGGGTCTACCTTTTGCAGGCTGCCAGTAGGCCATGACACTTGTCCTAGGGCCCCCTCCCCATGGGCTTCACAGGAACCCTCCCCAGAAGCAGCAGCCATGCCTTTCTGCCTTGAGGAACCTCGGGTGCCCAGGTCCTCTCCTCAGCAATCCTTGGTGGCAGTGAAGGGCACTCTCACACTTGGCTTCTTTTCCAGGGAGCCCTGACAGCATTCGGTTGAGGTGAACCTGGAAGGACTCTGCCTGACAAGATGTACTCTTCAATGAAAGATGGAAACCCTACTGCTCAAACTTCCCTCTGCCTTAATAAACATGGCCAGCGTAGCTTTGCAGTTGATGCCTTCTTGCCTCAAAGCCAAACCCTAGAAAAAAGCATCATGCCTCTTTCTGTGTATGGGGCGGAGGGGGGGCGGGCAGGAAGGGAGAGGGTGTTCTTGTTTTCTGTGGTTTCTGGTGTCTTTGCTCAGATATCCCAGTGTCTTCGATTCCCTCTAGTCTCTATTCTACCAAAGAGACCATGATGGTCTGACCCTAATGTTCATGGAAAGGCCCCATAGAACGTGGACACTGATACCCACATTAGGGGAATTGCCCCAGGAAACTTCATTAATAACTGCATTTTCCTTCTTGGGAAGGGCTTCACTCACTTCTTGGACTACCTACAAACTGAAGCTACTTGATCTTTTACATGAAAACCCAGGGCTCCGAGTTTTCCATTCCTATTGTGAATCCATTTCCATTCCTATAAGAATCATGGGGGATTTAAACTTTCCAGTGTTGGGAGGTGATGAGCTCACAAACTAGAGTAGAGGGAAAGGCCACCTGGACTCAGATGAGGTTTGAACCTCACTTTCAACACACTGCCCCTATGACCATCAAAGGGTATGGAGCTTTGTGGAAGACTCTGGTCTGAATAGTCCCCAAGGCTAACAAGATGAATTGTTTTCCATCTCTGGTGAAGCAGATGGGGACACTCTGACATGTCCTTGGATAACAATAACATGTCCAGACTCTGTAGATTGCCTGATAACTATGCCCTAAGTTGCCATGGGAACACTGTACACTACAGAAGCTCACCAGAACTGGGAGTGGGTAGGCTTATGCCAGATAAAAGAGCCCATTCTGAGCCAGATCTGCTACCCCCCTCAACTTGTGGATTTTCCCCCCAATGAGAAGCGCTTAGAAGAAACCTTAGGACTGAAGCCCAAGACAAGCTCCTGCAGATTCCTGGGGAAATGCGACCAGCATAATCCTGAGGAGACTGGTCCCCAGATGTGTTATTTGAGAAGTGTGGGGAGTGCAAAGGGGTGGGCTGTATTGGATGCTGCAACATGTCACCCAGTTTCCCCTTCAAGAGGTCCTTTCCATAGCTGTCGGGTGTTGGCAACTGGAGTTGCTTTCTGAGAACTGCCCTCAAAGAACTGTAAGGTCACACTCTGAGGCAGAGGAAGTCTGCATTCTGGCTGACAAAGGATCTATTTATTTCTATGTCACCAGCTCTCTGGTGTAGGTCATAAAGACCTGGACGCTTGGCTTCAAGGGGGAACAAATCTGAAGGGTCTTCACAGGGCCAGGGTCTTTACACCATGGAACCATCCGAGGACTTTGTGATTCCATTACCTGGTAGCTTCCCCTTTGCCCAATATTAATTCCTTGATTGTTTTCCACACCACCACAGAATTGTTTTAACAATTAACTGTTATTGTTATTAATGGTGTGTGCAGTATTCTGGCTCCCCATTCATACAGGTGTTATCTGCTATCTGCATCTTTCCCTTCCTTAAAAATTGTTTATGTGTTGTAGAATATATTTTAAGGTGTGTTTTGTTTATGTTGCATTTAACTCTGTGAAGCTGTGTTACTTTGCCTGTCTGAAACACCCAATGGTCTATCTGACAGAGAACTGAACAGCCAGCCAGCCAGGGTGGAAGAGCAGTCCATGCTCATAACCAAGTCACCTCTGCAGCCCGCTTCATCTGTTCTAGCATCAGGGTAATAATACTGGACTCAGGCGAGGTAAAAAGTTCTCATCCTGTTTTAAATATTTGAAGAACTGAAAATTCCAAAATACAAGGATTTAAAAGAATGAATATTGATCCTTAAATGTCCATTGAAATTTACCAGAATTCCAGAATGAAATCATAAGAAGGCACAGGCTCTTCTTTCCACGGGGTTTTTGTTTTACATTTCCCATTACTAACTCAGTACCAGTATTTGTTATATATCCACTCAGATTTTAAGTCTCTCCACCCTTTTTGAGATGTGTAACATTCTACAATATTCCACAGTAGTGCTCTCTATTCTGTGAGGTTGGTAGTAATGTCCCTTTGGTACTTAATTTTAGTAACAACTCTTTTCTCTTCTGCTGACTTGGACACTCATGAATTTCACTCATCTTTCCAAAGTCACAACAAAGGCCAGTTTTTATTTTCCATTTTCCATTTTCTATTCCTTATTCCACAATTCTCTGCTCTGCTCCTCATTCCTTCCTACTTTCTGCTTTGGCTTGTCCGGTTAGTAGACCATTTTCTTTTTATTATTAAGAAATTTTCTATTCACTTTACATACCAACCACAAATCATCCCCTTTTCCCTCTTCCCAACCCCCATCCCCATATTTTCCAAGTCAAGGTCTCCCATGGGGAGTCAGCAGAGCCTGGCACACTCAGCTGAGGCAGGCCCAAGCCCCTCCCCACTGCACCAAGGCTGTGCAAGGTGTCAAACCTTAGGCACTAGGCTCTAAAAAAAACCCCACCCCCATGCACCAGGAATGGATCCAATCCCCCTGCCTGGGGGCCCCCCAAATAATTCAAGCTAAACAACTTTCTCCCTATCCAGAGGGCCTAGTCTAGTCCTATGGGGGCTCCACAGCTATTAGTCCACAGTTCATGGGTTTCCACTAGTGTGGCTGGTCATCTCTGCACATTTTTCCCATCATGATCTCGACGTCCCCTGCCCACAGAATCCCTCCTCTCTCTCATCGATTGGACTCCCGGTGCCAACCCCACATCAGACCGCGGGCTGATCTCCAAAATATATAAAGAACTCAAAAAGCTAGACATCAAAATACCAAACAATCCAATTAAAAAATAGGCTACAGAGCTTAACAGAGAATTCTCAAAAGAATTTCAAATGGCTGGAAGGCATTTAAGGAATTGTTCAACATCCTTAGTCATCAGGGAAATGCAAATCAAAATGACTCTGAGATACCATCTTACACCTGTCAGAATGGCTATGATTAAAAAAAAACACACACTGAAGACAGCTCATATTGGAGAGGATGTGGAGCAAGGGGAACATTCCTCCACTGTTGGTGGGAATGCAAAGTTGTACAGCCACTCTGGAAATCAGTATGGCAATTTCTCAGAAAACTGGGAATCAATCTACTTCAGGACCCAGCTGTACCACTCTTGGGCATATACCCACTTTTTTGTTTGTTTGTTTTTTGAGACAGGGTTTCTCTGTGTAGCTTTGCGCCTTTCCTGGATCTCGGACCCAGCTGTACCACTCTTGGGCATATACCCAAGGAACGCTCAATCTTTTGTTTTGTTTTGTTTTTTGTTTTTGTTTTTTGAGACAGGGTTTCTCTGTGTAGCTTTGCGCCTTTCCTGGATCTCGCTCTGTAGACCAGGCTGGCCTTGAACTCACAGAGATCTGCCTGCCTCTGCCTCCCAAGTGCTGGGATTAAAGGTGTGAGCCATCACCACCCGGCCTTTTTTCCTTTTTTAAAGATTTACTTATTACATATACAATGTTCTGCCTGTATGTATCCCTGCAGACCAGATGTCATTACAGACCGTTGTGAGCCACCATGTGGTTGCTGGGAATTAAACTCAGGACCTCTGGAAGAGCAACCAGTGCTCTTAACCCCAGAGCCATCTCTCCAGCCCCGGAATGCTCAATCTTACCACAAGGACACATGCTCAGCTATGTTCATAGCAGCATTATTCGTAATAGCCAGAACCTGGAAACAATCTAGATGCCCCTCAACCAAAGAATGGATAAAGAAAATGTGGTACATATACACAATGCAGTACTACTCAGCAGTAAAAAAAAAAATGATATCATGAAATTTGCAGGCAAATGGATGGAACTAGAAAGTATCTTCCTGAGTGAGGTAACCCAGATTTAGAAGGACAAACATGGTATGTACTCACTCATAAGTGGATACTAGATGTAAGGCAAAGGATAACCAAACCACAACCCACAGCTCCAGAGAACCTAGCTAACAAGGAGGATCCTGAGGGACACATAGATAGCCCAGCAAAGGAGAAATAGATGAGATCTACATGAGCAAAATATGAGTGTGGGGGGGGGAATTAATGGAGGGCAAAAAATTGGGCATGATAACATAAGGAAATGAGAGGGACAAGCTGGAACAGGGACAGAGTGGGAGAGCAAGGAAAGAGATACTGTGATAAATGAAGACATCATGGGAATAGGAAGAGGCAGGGTGCCAGGGAAGTTCTTAGGAATCCACAAGGATGACCCCACCACTGGCAATGGTGGAGAGGGTGCCTGGACTGGTCTGCTCTGGTGACTAGACTAGTGAATACAACTGTCATCATGGAGCCTTCATCCAGTGACTGATGGAAGCAGATGCAGAGATCCATGGCCAGGTGCCAGGCTGAGCACAGGGAATCCAACTGTTTTCTTCTTTAATGTCTCTGCATCATAACTTCCCTCTATGCATTATTCTCACTGCATTCCTTGCTTCAATTTTTTTTTCAATCATTTCAGAGAATGCTACTTTCCCTTTTCTTTGTTCCACTGGCTATTTTGGTGTTAAGTTCCACTTAATCTTGAATTCCCCAACTTAATTTCATGTCACTAACTATAGACTAAATTTTCTATTAATTCACCTTATTCCATGTACAGTTGAAAAGACAAGCACTCCATTAGTCTCACACATTTATTATTTAGTTAGGTTACAGCGCTGTTCAATTTCCTACTACCTTATATTCTGCCCAGTTTTGTTTTTGACATGAGCCTTGTTATGCTGTTCAGCAACTGGTGGTGCTGGTCATTGACAGCCCAGCTTGAGTGTTCAAGTACGACTGTTCAATCACCCACTTCCCCATCGTGTTGGCTTTAGTCCTAGTTTGGAGCTCTGTGGTCTGGTGTGCTCATCATTACAAGCAGCCCCTTAGTTTCTAGTAAGGATTTGTTGTCTGATTGGCATGGCTACTTGCACTAGTTATGTTTATGTGACATTTTTCATCTGCTTATTGTATCTTTATACAGACAGCTCCCATAGACAGCACATAATTATGTGGGTGCTATGGATCTGAACTCATTTTGGAGAAAATATGTCTTTTATTCTATC